ATATATGATCGACATGGCACGTTTTCTGTACAACGGACTTTGACGAATGAATTGAACATAAACTCATTATTAAACAAATTTTGTGCCTCTAAGTAAAAACAATCACGCACCTTGGCTTTTTAAATCACAAGCTTTATATGTCAGTAGCTCTTCTGATTATGGAGTAATAACCTCCTATAGTTTTGACTTCGGAAGCTTAATTCTTTTCGGAAAACAGCTCTATTAAGATTTTTTTTAGCATGATAAGATGGAGTAAATCGAGAACTTTCAGAAAATATATGATTCGGATGGTTTTCTTGGGGAAGGAAGAATTAAAAGCAAAAAACGGTTTTATAAGTTATTTATTATTATATATAAGAGCTTTTTAACAAAATTTTTTTTGCATTACTGTTTTCTAACTTTTATTATATTAATATTAATAATGATTAGACATGAAAATGCACTATTTTAATTAAAGTTTTACTCAAAAGGTTACAAAGAAAAATATTTTAGTATATTGGATTTAATATTATCAATTATTATCAATTTAATAAATTAATAAATTAATAATCAATTTTTATTATTATTATTTTAGGTGATAAATAATCTTTAAATTTAAAGCTTTTGCTTATTTATTTTTATTGTATGAATTAATAAAATAAGAAAAACACAAGACAATTTCAAAATTTAATGAACAGATAATAAAAAAGAAAACTAATACAGTGAACCCTTGTTTCAACGAACAAAATTTTCTTATATGTCCAGCCACTTCGTTGAAACAAGGGCAGACTGTACTAGGTATAAAAAATTATATTAAATGAATTTAAATGAATATATTCAACGTTAGATATTTTTTTTGTCAATTATTAAATTGATTATTTGTTTACATATTTAAAAATAATTAGATATAAAAAAATTGATTCAAATGATTATATGACCAAACAATGTGCCATTAAAGAAGGAGGAAAAGGTTTGTGATGTTAACATCATAATTTAATTAGATCTTCAAATAATCTTCTTGCTACATCTCTTGGTAAATCTTCAGTGTGATCAAATACCTCTTTAAGGATTTCAAGTTCCTCATTTGTTTTTATACGTCTCTTATTTATTTGTGAAGAAGATCCTGCATCCTCCTGTATTATCACATTGACTGGTACAGCTATTGATTCTTCAGGTAAATTTTCCCTAACCACTTCCATTTCTTCATCTTGATTTTTAAGTGATTCAAGATGCTCTTTGACTTTTACAATACCAAGGTTTTTACTTCTGCCAATTTTTTTTTGGTTGTGATTTTGCTTTGTTAGTTGTTGATGATCATCTATTTTCAGTATTTTTATAAACAATTAAAGCTAGACCAATGCCACTAACATAACGGAATAATGAAAGACAAGAATAATAATAATATTCAAATACATTTTTGCGACTATATAATATTAATATAGAAATATTTTCTTGAAGATTTTGTACACAAGATTTTGAATGAACCACAATGTTTGTGTACCGTACATTCTCCGCACACTCTCCGTACATTGCGTACACTCTCACTAAAATTTTTCAAGGAGATAAAAAATTCACTAGTGAAAAAGTTCCTTCAATTTTTATTACTTGCTCAATGTTGAAAATTCAATGTCCACAATGTCCGGTGTAACATTACACACCAATCAAATTTTTAATTTTTTGAGATAGTTTCGAAATTTGTACTAGTTACACAACGAAATTTTAACACTGTCAAGGAAAATATCCCAAATATCCAAATATTGGAGATATAAATATTCTTTTTTTTAGTAACAATGCAATACTGTTACACTGTTTATTAGAAAAATTTATATATTATTATTATTATTATTCCCCGTAATAAATTATATTCATTTAGGTTGACTGTTCTTCACCTGTTCCTTCTAATTAGTCTGATTATTGATAAATTTCAAAACATAGATTAAATACATCCATTCTGTATCTAAAAATTTATTCCATATCAAATATAGGAAAGTTCTTATACATTCCATATATTTATTTTCTATAGGGCATCAGATTACCAAACATTCTGTTATTCCTGGTTCACCTGAAAATTCTAGGTATGTCCTCATTGATTTTGAACATGGAGCCATAATAAGCAAAAACCTGGTAGACTATTGACAGCTGGGATAGAAATACACTCACAACTGCTGGCTACTATACAATCACATCAGACATGCACCAGCTGGGAAAGCTGCTAGAAGGACATAATGGCTGATGAGAATGATTTTGTGAGCCAATTGAAATCAAAGAATATGTCAGCAACAACATACATGGATCAATGATTAAATACTAATCAACATCAAAGTAAAGTTTAGCATAATGAGTTTTAACAGATTTACTAGTTATATGTGTATTTTGCTTTATAATATGTTTTTAGAAATTTATCAATAAAATAGACACCAAGGTTAATCTTTGCTTTCTTCAATTGTAATAAGCAATTAGACCCTTTGTATCAATGTTATTGAATTACTAAAGATCCAATGAGAATTGATTTCTTAAATAGTCAAAAATATTTTGAATAGTCAAGTATGTATTCAAATGATAATTATGAATATTCAAAAATCACTTTTATTTTTGATTAGAACTATAGGTGCTTCCCAAATTACTTTGTACAAATACCAAATGTAGATCAATCTTTCTGCTATGCTTTCCTAACCAATAAACATATAGTGTAACAAAGGGGTTGCTGATCACTTTCACAAATCTTAGGTTCTTATTGGTTGAGAGACAGAATGTTATGAGTGTACAAAGTAGTTGGGGATTTGGAAATACTTTGACAAGCTGGCCCAAATTCACTTTGTATATTTGTGATTTTGGCAGCATGTATAATCAGTACCTCTAGCTTAGTTGTATATCTTAAAGAATTTGCTGATTGCCAGACTTTAACATATTCCTTCTGACATTTTGGAAAATGCTTGTAAGATATTTTATGGGCAGTTGAGCCAATAAAATGGGTGTAAGTGTTCATCATAGCCATCTTTATCTTCACCTTTTGTGATATCATATAATAATAGATTTTCTTGTAGTATCATACAACAGCAGGATGGTGGTACACTTCTAAAGGAAATGAAAGAACAATGGGTTGAAACACAGCTAACATTGCAACTTCTTGTGTCAGTGATTCCAGTAAAACTTGATGAAACTGAATCTGATGCAAAAAAGCTTATTCAATATTTATCAAAAAGCACTGATGTCTCCAAATCAAAAGCAAAGACTGTGTAGATGGACTTGATATTTCAGAAAAATTTGAAAATGTTTGGGCTGAGTTAAAAGGTGGTTTTGGCACTCAGCATGAAACTGATAACAAAAACAATTGTGAGGATCTGGATGTATCACCTAAATGGTTCTCTATGATGAAGTGCTAACATTGAATAAGCAAAAAAGAACATTGGAGAATTAGGTTTCTATGGAATAATAGGAGGGATTGGATGCCATTTCCAATTTTGGAACTGTGTTCAGGTTTTCAGATACCTCAGGCAATTGTGCTCATTGAATGGGTTTTCTTACTATCACTTGGGGGAAGAGAGTGTAGTGGCTGTTGTATGCAAAAAAAGTTGTTTACTCATTCAAGGTATGTATTTGTTCATTTTCAAAGAGTTGCTCAAACTTCTTATTAAGACTTACATTGCTTATTGGTTGACATACAGATAAGGATGGAAATCAGCAAATTGAAATTTCACCAGACCAGGGCCTTGGTGTGGAGTAAAAAAATTCCGAGTCTGGCTTTTTTGCCAATCAAAGCAAAAAATCACAACTTCTTCCCTCTTCTCAACCTGTGTGCTCTTGTAATGGACAATAGGACTTTCATTCATTAAACTTTACCAACGCCTATTATATTTTTTTACAAACAAAAATGTTATGGAATTCATTAAACAAATTAATACAGAGGCAACTTGACAACATCAATTTTTCTCAAAGCATTATATATAATTCCTACTCCTTAGGGTAATGTTGTTGCAAAATACCATTGTGGGCTGGGTCATTGTGATCGCGGGCATTTCTTATTACAATTTGAGATTTTGGGTTTATGGCGCAGCAATAGGATGCAGTTTGTTTGTTAATAAAAAGACCTTCACATATAAAATATACCAAGACTTTTCTTCAAAAACGCACAACTAATTCTATACTTCAATCTTTAAAAATCATGCCTGCAGCACTAGTTGTTTGTAGGTGGCATATTGGTGATCATAAGTCATCTGCATTCTCGAGTAGAAGTTAAAGATGAACCAGGTCGGGAAAATTTTTGAACTTGGTTCAATTTAAAATTAATAAATATTGCCCTTTTCCAAATTCTCAAATATGAATAAATGCATACATTTCATTGGTTTTTATTTATTTAAAGGAGATGGTCAAAACTTGATGGATAATAAATAGATGAATGATTATTCAAACAAATAAAAATACATGATATATATATATATAATAATAATATACAAGAAAAAATTTTTAATAATTAAATTATTTTTTTTCTGGAGCTTTAAAAAAATTCTTTGGGGGTAGACTTTTAGATGATCCTTCAGGTGTCTTTTAAACATGCGTGTATAGGGATAAATAAGGTTAGAAATGTGTGAATGAGAATGAGGAAATCAATAAAATAAATCAACCAACTAATTAATCAATCAATGACTACTTACCACATAAGCAGCTGTAAGACCACCATCAACTTTTAATTCTGTGCCTGTAATATAAGAAGATTCATCCGAAGCAAGGAACAAAACTGTATTTGCAATTTCAATTGGTTCGCCTATAATATAAACATTTAAAAATATCTAATTTAGTATAACTAACATAAATATAAAATTTTGTGCATTACTCATTTCCAAATTTCTAATTTCCTAATGTTTTAAATTTTTACCAAATCTTCCAATTGGTACATGAATCAATCGCCTATTTTTCTTTTCATCAGTGTCAAGAAAGTCCATAAGTAATGGTGTTTGTAATGGCCCAGGACATACAGAATTTACTCGAATGTTTTCACGAGCATGTGTAACTGCAAGCTCACGACTTTTTAATTATTATTTTTAAAAATAGGTTATTAATAATTAATGCCTTTGCAATTTGTAATTACTCCAAATACTACCACCGTCGACATCAACATCTCATTTACCTCAAGGCAATAACAGCTCCTTTGGAAGCAGTATCTAGAAACAGACCAAAATATTATTATTCTTTCTTTTTTGAATATTTTCAACCAAACAAATATGTGTATATTTATCATTCCCTTACATGCTAATTGTGGTGTAGCTGAACCCATCAAACCTACAAAACTAGCGGTATTGATAATACTGCCACCTTTTCCTTCTTTTCGAAATGCTTCTATTGCATATTTACAACCAAACCAGACACCTTTAAGATTGATATTCATTGTAAGATCCCTTTATGTATATATATATGAATAATATTGTATAAAACGGACAAGCCGTCCACATCCAAAAAATATTATTGGATTAATAATAATATCAATGATTAATGATTAATTTGACTTTGTTTTTATATAAATTCCTCATACCAAATTTTTTCATCAGTAGTAAGAACATTATCATCATCTGGATGCATTATACCAGCATTATTGAATATAATATCAAGTTTGCCTATATTGTAAATCAGGATAAATTAATTTTTAAATAATCATTTACACTTAAAAGTCACAAAAGAAATAATTTACAAAATTTTAATTTATGTTTAAATAAAATGAATAAACATTACCGAATTCTTTTACAGCAGTTTCAACAAGTTGTTTGACCTCTTCCTCTTTGGAAACGTCAACTTTAAACGCAATCGCATTTTTACGAACATGTACTGGACCTGTTTTTTCTTTGATTCTTTCAACTGTAGCTTCTGCCGATTGTAAATTTACATCGGCCACCACAACATAAGCTCCTTGTCTAGCAAAAAGTACACTTGTCTCATAACCAATACCACTATTTATTCATTTTGTTTGTTTGTTTGTTATTGTTTTGTTATTGTTTTGTTAATTTTTTAATTATTTATAGAAATATTACTTTTCATGAAAACTTTATTTAAAAAAGAACATTTACCTTCCACCACCAGTAATAATTGCTACTTTTCCATCAAGACGTCCTTTGATATCTTTAATAGCTTTATTAATTGCAGACATTTTTTTTTTTTGAATTAGAAATACAAGTAACACAAAATTTTTTTTTGGCGTGACCTGTTTGATACATGATAAAGAAAGAAAGAAGAGTTGTTTAAACTATGTCAAAAAAGATACTTTCGACCAGTGCAATGATGATAGATGATGAAGAACGGGTTAAAAAATTTGACGACGACTTTGAGTCATCAAATCAACCTTCATCACGTCCTGGCTACATACCTTCTCACATGCCACCTTTTCCTAGCAAACATACATATAAGAAGACACCGGTTTGTTATATATATATATACATAGACAGAAATATATTTACACGTTAATATGGTTATTATGATTGTGACAAAAATATTTTTATTTTAAAAATTCAAGGTATTTCCAAAACGATTAGATTACAATCCAACAAGAATAAGAAAAATGCGATTAGAACAATCAAGATTAGTTGAAAATAGTTTACAAAGATTATCGAAATGTCATAGCAATAACAGTAGTAATCATAATATTGATAATATTAGCAATAATAATTTGTATATGGAGGAAGACTCACCTTCTTCGTCATTAACAATTGTCTCGGCAAAATCATCGGAGTCACAACAACAACTAGATGATGAAAATTTGTCAAAAGTATCAATGCCGATAACTAATTTTCGTTCAACCATCATTCATACAGGTACAATCAAGAATCATCCAAAGTATGATGCTAGATTGATTCGTTGTTTAACAGATGAATCAACACTGAATCGATATAGTAAGGAAAAATCTGAACGAATAAAATCAAGTTGGGAAGACGTTTTAGAAAAACAGAAAAATTTATAATTATATTGTAGATGTCACACGTGTTGTTACTATTTACTATCTCTAAAAAAAGCAAAACATTTTTTTCTCTTTCACGAATTTTATTATTAATATAAATCAGATAAATATGGCAAAGACGATAAATTATTGCAAGATTTTTTTAAAAAAATATTATATATAAAATACATTTTTAAAAATTACATGAATATTTTACCTAATTTAATCATCCCAATTAAAAAAGATTTCCTGATTATATTGTACTCTTGTGATCAAATAAAGCACTAACACTACCACCATTATGTGCTCTTTTGATTGCTTCAGCAAGAATAGGAGCAACATTAAAAACCTTAATCTTTGAACATTGTGCTTCGTGCTCATCCTGTGGGACACTGTTGCTGACAATAACCTGGTCGATGACACTGGACTGTATTCGTTGAATAGCATCACCACTTAGAATTCCATGAACAATAAGTGCATAAATTTTTTTTGCGCCATTCTCAGCAAGTATTTGAGCAGCTTTAGTGATTGTATATGATGTATCTGAAATATCATCAATCAGGATACATGTTTTATCCTTAACGTCTCCAATTAACATCATATCCTTTTTATGAGGGGCATATTGAGAACGTCGTTCTTTATGAATAAGTGCAAAATCAACATGAAGTTTATCAGCGATAGAAGTGGCTCTAATAATAATAATAACAATGATAATGATGACGGCATGAAGAAAAGAAGATGGAATAATTATTTGCATTTTTTTTTTTTTGATTAAAATAATAATCATTTTACCTTTTAGTACCACCTGCATCAGGAGATATGATTATTGCATTGGTCCAATTTGGTATATTTTCTTTTATATATTTTATCATTAATGGTTGACTGTATAGATTATCAACAGGTACATCGAAATATCCTTGAAATTGAGGATCGTGAAGGTCCATAGTCATGACATGATCAGCTCCTATATAAAATAATAATAATAATAGTAATAATAATTAATTCAAACAATCCTATTTCACATAGACAATTAGATCCGAGCTAGCAAATATTTCATCACACAATATAGTAACCTGCACACGTTAAAAGATTTGCTACAAGAGTTCCAGATTGTGCAATCCAATGTTTATAACCATTATTATTACTACCATTATTACCATCATTATTATTTGCAATAGATCTAGTTGACAATCCATCCAAACCATTTGATGACGAATTTTGTTCACCAAATTTTTTAAAAGCAGCACTGAAAGGATCATCTACTTGAGGTGATGACGGTGATGTAAAAATTGGATCAAGTATAGCAGGTGTATCGTATGTATAACCTGTAGGATTGTTTGTTTGTTTATGTGATAAAGGAGCTCCACTTCTTTTATGAGAAGCATCTGGTTGTCTTGAGTATGGAAAGCAAGGAATCACGGCACTTACTCTAGCAGCAGAAGCATTTTTACATGTTGATATCATAATTAAAAGTTCCATAAGGTTGTCATTAACATGTCCACAGCCTGATTGAACAATGTAAACATCTTTCTCCCTAACACTTTCTTGAATTTCTATGTTCGTTTCTTTGTTTGAAAATTTTGATAACTTGACGTGTCCAAGATGCACACCAGCTCTTGTAGCAATTTGTTCTGCTAATTGTGGGTGAGAAGAACCTCCTAAAATTACAATGTTGTTCATTATATTTGGTTTTTTTTTTTTGATATTATTCACCAAACCCTATGATATTATAGAGGCATATGTAAAAGTTGTACGAAAAATACTTGTTGACATAATGCCAGTTTATTATTATCCTAGCATGATGTGAAGATGATGTGAAGATGATGTGAAATAATGTGAGATGATGTTGTTGTTTGCGTTAATAAATTTATTCACATGCGTGAGAAATTCAAATTAGCCAATCAGAATTTCGCACCCATTCTCCAAAAAACGTGACAACTTGATAATTATTGGATAAATTTAAATATGTATTATTATTATTATCATCATTTATCATTGGTAACAGATTTAATTGATGTAAAATATTTGGAAGATTTAGAAAATACAATATGTATTTCATTTCAATTTCTAATGGTGAATAAAGATGATTTTCGTTTCATACAGACATTCAATAATCTTTGTGCAAATTTGTATGAGGTTTGACTTGCAGGAACAGCGAAAATAAATTTATAATTCAAATTCCAATTTAAAACTATTGCTATATCTATCGACAAGCACAGATATAGCATTTCACCAGATAGAACTAGTCTTGTAACAAATTGAATGTCTCTATCAGTAATCTGCTAATCTCGCTGCTTCTTTGGAAATTTGTTCAAACATATCACTCATAAAATCATGCATAAAATCATTGTAGATTTTGTTGGAAATGCCAACATCATCAGGATGTGCCTTAAAATTGCAAATTAATAAATAAATATTAATAAGGTAACACAATATAATTTTTTCTTTGAATGTCAATAACATTGTTAACGAGATGAAATGTGTTGTGACTCAATATCATCAAGATTTATACGTCAGGAGACTTTTTTAGGCACGAATTTATTACATTGCTTGTGTAAGTTTATGTATGTAAGACCACCATCATTACATTCAGTGTAAATTAAAATATTTATGTGCATAATATTACGGCGGGACAAATTTCCTGAACATACGAATGTTTCAACCAGGTGGAACCCTTCATTTTGACGAAATGTTACCCGGCTGTAAAACTATTACGTCAAATTCGCTGCTGTCAAGTCAAAAATGACGCAAGTAAAGAATATAAAAAGCTCATAAATTCAATATTTTTCTTGTACTCCAGCCTTTCCTTTGTTTGTTTCATCTTACCGAATACAAATTCAGTTCCCGCGCGCTTATTAACTCGAACATTCATTACATTAATAACGTGATCATGATCGGGTTAGATAAAGTCATCGGTACCAGTACTTTATGTTCCAGGATCAACTAGACCTATACATAATTATTATCAAACGAAAACTTTACAGCAGGAGATTTTAATACTGTGTAAATAATTATAATATCAATATTGATTGATTAAGTTACTTTAGTTACTTTGCAATAATAAACTTTTTAATTTTCATTTTTATTTTTATTCAACGAAAATTTCATTAACTTGAATAGGGAATAACTTTTGGTCTTTGCTTGAAAAAGCAAAGAATAAACTTAGGGTCCTCGCTTGAGAAAATTAACATTCTAATAAAATAAAGCTCTGATAGAAACATAAAAATAAAAACATTGTTTTATTTTCTTTGTATTGTTTAAAACACTTTGATAAAAGCAACAAGTGTAGTGCCTTGGTAAAAAGTAACAATTCGGAGCTTTGGTAAAAAGTCACGCTTTATTTGCCTTGGTGAATAGGAAAAGGTTAGGACCAACGTTGATTAACTGGCGAATGTTAGTTAATGAAGCATCGTTCAAATGTTAATCGGAAATACTGGTGGCATTGTTGTAATCGTAAACATAGGGCTGTTAAACAAGCCACTTAAATTGTTTTGAAAGTAAACAAAGCGAGTTTGCAATGCCAATAACGTAAATGACTGAAACAAGTCGAAGCCCTCGAGTTTCGTAAAAGGGTCATCTTTATTTATTTGCAGTTACCCGGTATCGTTAGGTGTGTTCACAGATTCGTATAAGTGCAAGAAAGAGCCAGTAATCGAGATGCACCAAATTATTGTAAGTTTATTGCAAAGAGCTAAGCCATAATCGGCCATGCTTGTTAAATAATCGGTATTAACTGAAATGATACCTAACAATATCACCATTTAACAAGAATCAAAAAACTGTGAAAAGTTTATTATTTCAAAATAATTTAGCTTTAAGAAATAAAATAAAAATATAAATAATTATAATGGATAATTTATAGTGAGATTAAATTAGTCATCCATCGATTATTCTTTTAAATTATTAGAATCTAATGCAGTCAAATGTAAATAAAAAATAATTTTATTAATAATTGATGAATAATAAGTTCCAATTAATTAATAATGAAATTTTTACTCACCTTCAACATTTAAGAGAAGAGAGTTAAAATCAAGGCTATTTAACGAACTATCATTACTTGTATAAATTTTCAAGCTTTTTGATTTAGCGATCTCACCATCTAAGATTCTACTTTTATGATACGCATCTGGATGTGATTCGTATACTTGTTGCGAATTATTACTACTAGTAGTAGTAGTATCATTATCATTATTATTTTTAATAATTTCCTTATGTTTATTATAAGCAAATCGATAAAGCTCTCCACTAGTTGGTCTTTTTGATGGATCCACATCCCAACACCTCTGCATCATTTGCACATAATCATCAGGCATTCC